CCCCAGTCCGCGGGCTACCACCAACACGGCGGAGCGAGGACTACTGGGAGCGTCCCTGTTTCGGGATTTGTTTTGTGTTTTGCTTTAGGGAAGGAAGTAATGGGAGTAGGATGAAATGGTGGTGTTTAAAGCCATTCAATCCACTGTACAGTGTTTTGTTTTCATTTTAAAGATTCATTTATTCATACAGAACTGGGGGTACAGGCCAGAGGTGCGCGGGCGGTGAAAGGATTCACCAGATACAGCGCAGGGAGCAGAACAGGCAGATGGACGAAGTACACTGCTGAGGGGAGCAGCGGGCAGGCCAGGAGAGGTCTGCCGCGCCATGTGGTTACCTCCCAGGCAGGTGGGAATCGAACTCATGCAGAAGTGGCTTTAGCTTCTCGGTGCTGTGCTTTAACCTGCTGCGCCACCAGGGAGGGCCTGTACAGTGTTCTTTTACATTCAGGAAAGCAGTGTGGAAAGTGAGGAATGAAGAAACAGGTGGGGTAAGAGAAATCAAATATTTCTTAAAACATCTGTCAACTGTTTGGAGGTTCCTCAAACTGCTAAACATGGAGCTTCCCTACGACCCAGCAATCCCACTCCTAGTTACCTACCCCAAATTCCCTCCATAAAGATATAGAACAAGCAGGTAACAAAGTAAAGACCCTGGGAGAATATTCACACAAAACTAGGTGACCACCCCCAAAAGCAAGTCGGTGAGGAAAACAACCAGCACACAGCCCGGGGAAGCAGCACCCTTCGGGCCCAGGGGAGCAGCCCAGGAGAGCCGCAGGCGCGTGGGCAAGACTGGCGGCAGCAGGGCAGTCGGGGCTGCGCAACCCAGGCCCAGCACTCCAGGCCCCAACCACGGACGCTTCCTTTACACCCCGCAATGAGGACCCACCGTGAGGAGAAATTCAAGGGGCTGGAATCAAATCTGAGCAGGGTAGAAATGAGAGGGACAAAGGAATGAAAAGGGCCGGGAACTCCCAGGCAGCAAGCCAGCGTGTCTCTGAAGCCGGCCTGGAAATGACAGAACGGGGAGCTCAGGGATGTTAGAGCAACTGAACCACGCCAGCTTCTAAACGCCCCAGGGAATCTGAAATCACAGAAAAGTAACAAGACATGAAAACCACTCCCAGGCAAAAGACAAAAAAGTCCTTAACAAACAAGTATTAAAAACAGATGCTCACAAAAGATAAAAATTACTACATTTCTAAACAAGATAAAAGATCAAGAAAACAGGCCCTCCCTGGTGGCGCAGCGGGTTAAAGCACAGCACTAAGAAGCTAAAGCCACTTCCGCATGAGTTCGATCCCCGCCTGCCCCGGAGGTGACCACATGGCGTGGCAGACCTCTCCTGACCCTCCCACTGCTCCCTTCAGCAGTGCACTTCGTCGATCTGACTGTTCTGCTCCCCACTCTGTCTCTGGTGAAGTCTTTCACCACCCCTGAGTCTCTGGCCTGTACCCCAGTTTTGTATGCACAAATAAATAAATCTTAAAAAAAAAAAAAAAAAAAGATCAAGAAAACAGTACAAGACAGACAACATTATAAATCAGAATTTGAAAAGCTCAAAAGATAGCAGATGTAAAAATAATTAGGATTAAAAGAAAATTACCTTAGAGATGAAGAGTAACCAAGAAAGAACCCAAGATCAAATAAACGTGACAAATAATGCTCCCCACGCCCCAGATAAAAAGCAGAAAACTTTCAGTCTAAAATGAACTAAAAAAAAAATCTGGACAGAATCTTACAAAGACTAAAGACAGGTAAAGAGGATAAAGTGTATGGGTACAGGATTTCTTAAGGGAGAATACCAGGCAAGGACACAGAATACTGAAAATTTAATTCAAGGCAATTTTGCTTGGGAAAAAACCAAAACAAATTGAGGCTTAAAACTACATATTGGAAGAACATGCCATGGACCTCGACTAGCATCTCAAATGATAGCACTCTAGCAAAATTACTATACTTCGGGGAAGAAGCCTCACAAACATCCCAGCAAAAGGAGCATCTGATCTGTACTGGAAAAGAAAATTAAACTTATCCTCTGATTTTGACAGCAACAGTTGATGCTGGAAAGATATATTTAGATAGTCAAATATGAAACCATGAGCCAAGGATTTTATCCCAGAAAACTTTGCCTTAAGAATAAGGGTCACACACAGCTATAATTGGTATAATTGACAAACTCGGGTCACAGAGATTACAGAATACTGTTCCCAAGAGCAATCTACATTAGGTGTTTCAGATGATTCAAGTGACTAGAGACAGCGAAAGGGCTGACAGAGAACTCACGGCGGCCACTCACAGACTAGGACAGGAGAGGCTGTTAAGTGGGCACGTGACCTTGCGAGAGAGCACGTCATTTTAAAGTAGAGGGTAAATAACATAGGCTTAGATGGATCTTTAACTTTTTTCAAGTCGTCATAATTCATGTTCACAGTATTTTTATTCTGAAATTATTGTAAATATACTATACTAAAGCAAATGAGATAAATCAGAATATCCCATTTTATCTTCAGTCCTTGAAACCAGGAAGAAGTAGAAGAAAGGGAACAGATGTTAATATTAAATAGGTTTAAACTCTATTTTGAACTCGAAATATCAAGATGAAGTCTTAATATTATGAAGGCATTTTATCTTTAAATATATATGCATATATTTATTTGCAAATTCTTTGAAAAACATGTTCTATTGAAAGAGCACATCATGAATGTAGCTACCAACTCCAAATGATAACATTCTAGTAAAATAACGTTGCTTAGGGGAAGAAGCCTTATGAACATCCAAGTAAAAGGATCAATGAACATTCCCAGCAGAAGTTCTATTTCAAAATAATATCAGTTTCTGAGAGAAATGACTGATCTGAGGTGGAGGTCGAGGCTGTACAGATGACCCTGGCACACCTCATCATACCAAGATAGCCAGGAAACCCCAGGACCATGTCAGGGCGGCTCCAGAACCTTAAGAGGTTCTCACTAAGGCAGAATAATCCGAGTTTTGAGACAGGACCTGGATCAAAACCCCTGAAATACGTTCAAATCCACCCATAGTGAAATAAAAGTGAGAGGGGTGCCTCACTGGTCACCTTTTCAGGCAGGCAGAGAATCAGCACTACCTTGAAAGTTGGACAAATGAAAGGGAAGAACTGAGCGTTACCCTGCTTGCTCTAACTCTGGGTTAGCCTCTAGCGAACAAGTGAGTGCATCATATACATTTTTACCAGCTAAATACTGAAAACCACAGAATTTAGTATCACCATTTTGTGATACCCAATGAATTTTTGAATAAAGATACTGAACATTAATAGCTACAAAAGTAAAAAGAGTTAAGTTGGCCTGATACCACGTGCCTTGAACAGAAGAACCAAGGGTAACTTTCATCTTGCCAAAGGGAGGGACCCAAATCTGGGGGCCCGTCAAGATCCAGTTGCCAATTCGCAGGGAATTCAGAGAAGAGAGGAGCACACTGGACTGCACCACAGAGTGACCAGTAACGTCCAGACTGCCAAAAGATACAGGTGAAGGATCAGGCTTCAACAGATACACTGTCAGGGGCAAGAAAAGGATGCAAGAGGAACCTAGGGCTTAAGAAGAAAACTTAGCAGGGGGTCAGATAAAGTCAACCAGAAACACAGGTGTGGATTCTGACTGCAGAACTGAGGTTTCCAGGGCGGGGTGTGGGGGCACAGGAGGAGGACAGAGCATGGTTACGCGCTATGGTGGACATGGTGTGGTGACAGACAGCTGAAGAGATGGGGAGGGATCCGAGGTCCTAAAACTATGTAATGTTACAAGCCAGTGTTACTGCATTAAAAAATAAAAGGCTTAAAAAACATAAACATTTTAAAATTGATATTCACTCAGCTAGAATATCCAAAGATCCACACAAAACTGTGAAGAAAGGCAATGCTATACTAAAAAAGTGGGGGCAGTGATTAACTCTGGAGGGAGGGAGAGGACAGGACAGGTACATGATGGAGTCTGAGGGCCAGGAAAGTTCCATTTCTTGACCAGGCTGTTACAGTTCACTTTGTACTAAATCACTCAACTCCTTAATTTATATTTTCAGGTAACTGTTTAGTGTGCTTTATAATACAAAAAAAAAATTTTTTTTAATGTTAATGCTGGAAACAAAGATCAAACCTGCATTTTCAAAAAAGGTTAAAATGGAGTTGGCATCACTCTAACTAATGTTCCTTTTCCTTAAAAAAGTGTCTGCCACCATTAAAACGATCAATTTAGCAAGGCACATTAAATGGAACAATTCCTTTTAACAGCAGCATATTTCTTTAATATGCGTTGGCTGCCAAAATGATGAGATCACAGGAGTCAGCCTCAGCCAAAAGTCCAGGAGGAAAAATGGGTAAATGTTTAAGTGACATATTTCAGGAATTAATTTGTTTATGTAAAATAATTTTAATTAATCAAGCCTTCCAAACAATGTTTCTCAGTTCAATTCAGTCCACGAAAAAATAAAAAGGGAAATAGAAGCAGGGTAACTCCCCAAGCCGCCCGCTGTGGTGCCAGACGGCTGCCAACTGCACCCGGGACCCTCCCACTTCTGGGGCACCCCGTCTGTGCTGGCCCCTCAGCATCTCAAAGTAGTCCGGGCTATGTCTGAAAGCGGATCTAAATAAATGATTCCATTTTAAGACTAAGAAGAATGTGCAGCTTTTATATCAGAAAGTCACCCTAAGCCTGGTTTCCTGCACAGCTTGTTTTTGGAATCTAAACAAAGCAATGTAAAGAACTTAACTTCAAAAATCTTCAAGTTGTGCATGTCCCTGCATGTTAGGGGCTGTCTGAACTGGGGTCCACTAGACAGAACACACCTTCTGATACAAGCCTGGAGATAAGCACTTGCAAACGCTGGCTACTATCACTTATCGGTCTCACATTCCATTTTATCTGCACAACCTTTGGCAACTGCTGTGTTTTCTGCTTTCGGGCCTGTCCACACACACTCGGAAAAGCACCAGGCTGGTGCAAGCCACCCCAGGAGCTTACCATAACCGTGCAGTCCTCCGAGCCACTGGCAATGACCTGGTCGTTGTGTGGACACCAGTCTATATCCAGCACTGGTCCTGTGTGGCCACATACTGTGGGGTAGGATTTGTCGATTCGGCCGGTCTGAAAGAGAGAACAGGCCTATTATTTAACATAAATGCCATAATTGGTGTTTTCTCAGGCCCATGTCTCCTTTAGTCCACCAAATCCCTCAGGCATTCGCATGTGATGGCACTCATATTGGTCAATGTCAACTCTAAGAACCGTCACCTTTCATTTCTAGAAAGACCTACTATTAAGCTCCATCAAATTAAAGGATCCAGATTTATAGAACCATTGAATTAATAGATATAATAAAAGAGAATACAAAAAGCTTTTCCCCCAAATACAATTCTACAATTATATTTTACAGATGGTATGTTACAAGTGTTTTACTGTCAAAAAAATTTCCTAAGACAGTGTTGTATGATATCTCAGTAAAAAATAATTCAATATAAAAAATTGGTATTATTCAATATGTGAAAATATAACTTAGAATACATTAATATCCTTGAATATATAAAATAACACTTCTGGAAACAAGTGATATTGTGAACAAACAAAGTTAAAGCAATACAAAAGATAAGTTTTAGCTACTGCTTAACAGCTAAAGGTTATACCACATTTTAGTATCTTGGTGTCTCCATTGCCCTCTACAAAAATCTCGACAGACCATCTGATCAGCACCCACTTAGATGTCATCCATTATTCAATTCCATACCTCATTAGTAGTGATAAGCAACCTTCAAATTTGCTCATGCTATACATCAGACTCCAACAAGCCAATCTGACTTATCAGAATAATTTTTTTAAAGGTTTATTTATTTATTCATACAGAACTGGGGTACAGGCCAGAGATGCGGAGGGTGAAAGGATTCACCAGGGACAGACTGGGGAGCAGAACAGGCAGATGGACTGAAGTACACTGCTGAGGGGAGCAGTGGGCTGGTCAGGAGAGGTCTGCAGCGCCATGTGGATCACCTCCGGGGCAGGCCGGAATCGAACTCATGCAGAAGTGGCTTAAGCTTCTTAGTGCAGTGCTTTAACCCGCTGCACCACCAGGGAGGGCCCATTATCAGAATAATTGAGTCAAACAAGACTTCACTGCTATTGTCCAAATGCACAAAAGCTATTTCTATTTCCTCTTTGAAACAGGCTCGAGCCAGCCAGTAAGGTTCTGTAGGCTCCAAAAGCAGGAGAACAAAAAGGCCCCACCACTCCACGACCCAAAGCCCATGTGTTTTCGCTATTGCTCTCCTGTGAAGGCTAGTTGTCACACGAGGTTGTTTCTGGGAAACTTCTCAAGGACAACAAATTCTATGATATTTCCACTTTGAGTCAACTGTGGGAATCTCCAGAGAAGCAGCATGCTAACATACCAAGATCACAGGCCTCAGAGTCACACAGATATGGGCTCAAATTGCTTAGACAGCACGTGACCACCTCACCAAGTCATGTGATCTCTCTAAGCTTCAACTCATCATCTATAATGTGATACTGCTCTCCCAGGTATAATATGAAGATTAAATAGAACATTTTTTGGCAAATCATAATTTAGTATTATCATTACAGGTCTATACACATAAACAATTTAATTATAGTACCTGGAATGCAGTGAATACTCAATAAAAAACTCATTTATTATTCTTCTAGCATATAATAATTTACTTCATCAGTAAGAACTAACAAATATATGTTATTTGTGAACCTTTACAAACTAGACACTGCTGAGTGGAGATAAGAGGTGGACTGGGTAGCCCTGCGCTGGCTGCGGAAGCAATGCATTTCAGCTGTCAGCTACGATGCAGCCTGAGACATGTTGCACCAGGACAGGCACGGGAGTGGCAGGAAAACATAAGGGCATTCGACCAGGTTTCTGGGGCTCACTTCTTTGGAAGTGATTTTTGCTGAGAAAGGTTACCTCTAAGCTGAGATATGAAGATAGATAGTCCTTTCTGAAGAAACAAAGCCTGAGGTTTTTCTGGTGTTCCTTTTCCCCCTTGCAAAATGAATTAAAGCCAGTTAAGATCTCCTCACTTCTATTACTAGAAAAGGAATTCATAAAAAAATATGCCAATAAAACCCAGTATCATAGAGGACCCGGGTGTTGTAACAAAGAGCCGCATATGCTATGTATAGGCAGTGAAGCACAAACGGAGGAGATCCAGACTGGGCAGGAGCTACAGGAGCTCGGAAGCCCCTGCCAAATTACTGCATCTTTCCACCTTAGCTTCTCAGCTATACACTGAGAACAGTAGAGTGCATTTTTTTAAAGAGCATATGGAAATTGACTGAGTCAATCAAGGTAAAGTATCAGTACTTGGTAATGGCCTAGCACTTGAAATGCTCAGTAAGTGCTACTGAAAATCTAATAACTTCTAAAATCCACTCTACTACATCCTGATTGTCTTTCCGTTAAAAAGAAACTGCCACTAAGCATCTACGCTAGGTGACTTCACCAAGTTCTCTTACTTCATCCTTATAATAATCAGGTGAGTACTCTAATCTTGGAGCTACTAACCTGGATATTGTGCAATTGCTCAGCTTCTGATGGTGGACCCATTTTATAATATTATTGTAGTATTATACAGTATATTGTTATAAAATTATATATTAATGTACATGCTATACTGTATGATATTACTACCAAAACTATAGCTATGCTGTTTTCAATATATATTTCACAATTTGAAATCCTCTAAAACAGGGAGGCCATGGGAAGGTCTGACACATATTTAAATAAACTATCTAGAAGGAGAAAATAAAGAGACTGGAAGAGAAACAAAAACTGAGAAGATAACAGCTAAGAATGTCCTCGGTTCAATTAAAGTCATAAATCTTAAATTTAAGAGGCACAGTATAAGAAAAGGTAAATCCACATCTATTAACATCCTGATGTAATTTAGAGCACCTAGAAAAGAGCAAACGTCTCAAAAGCAACCAGGGAGAAGTGGCAAGTTATCCAAAGAGAGAATAATTTGACTGGCTGTGGGCAGGCTCCTCAAAAGCAACCACAGAAACAAAGACTTAAGAGGAATTATTTCATAATGTTAAGAAAAACCACCACCCTTGAATTCTATACCCTGCTAAACTATCTTTCAAAAGCGAGGTCCAAAAATAAACAAAAGATACCTTAAACAAAAAAGAGAATTTATAGACTTTATAAAGAATTTAATGACCTATTTCAGATAAAGAAAGTGAACTAGAAAAAATAACTGTGATAACAAAACAACAGTGAACCAAAAAAGAACTGTAAATGTGGTAATTTATGTAAGCTATATAAAATGGTGAGAATAATGACTAACTGGAGCACAGATAAAACAAAGCAGAACAAAATTACTAGACAACTATAAAACATAAGAGATAAAATCGGTGTTCAAAGGTTTCAGGGTCCTTCTCTAGAGAAAGGCAGAAAGATAGAAGTGACTTTAGACTAAGTCATATGAGTATATTAAAATAAGAGTAAAAACACTAAAAGGAAATAAATAAAAAGTTTTAACTTTTGAAAGTATGTGGAGTGAGGTGGGAGGTAGTAAGAATTACAGAGAAAAACTAACTCATTCAACCCCACAGAAAGAAGAAATGTACATATATACACACACACATGCATGTGCGCACACACATATGTAGAGGTTGCTGTACTAGAACAATATACTTTAAAGATTAATGAAGTTAAGCTTGCAAAAAAATTAACATCACTATATAACATTTAACACCTGATGAGGTGTACATTCAAGGTACATTCAAGGTACACCTCATCAGGCAGCTATAGCCACTGTGAATTTTATTCACCTAACTACATAGGTGCAACATAATGCAACCATTGACAAAGCTATATGAAGAGACAATTACAGTCATTATCTTTTTTTTTTTTAAAGATTTACTTATTTATGCATATAGAACTGGGGTACAGGCCAGAGGTGCCGGGGTGGTGAGAGGATTCACCAGAGACAGAGTAGGGAGCAGAACAGGCAGATCAGTGAACGACACTGCTGAGTCCCCTAGCAGTGAGACAGGAGAGGTCTGCCACACTATGCAGGTCAGCCCCTTGGCCGGGGACTGAACTCATACTGAGGTGGCAGCGGCCAGCTTCAGAGTGCTGTGCCCACTTGACCACAAGAAGGAACCTATAGCCAATCTTATGAGATTTTGACATCAATCAAGCAGACAAATGAATTGGATAGACAACAAAGGTAACAAATTTGAGCTAATGTATATACTTAACATTGTAGCCAACACTTTGAAATACACATTATTTTCAAGTACACATTAAACATTTATTTTTCAATGATCACTTAGGAGACCGTGAAGCAAATATCAAATACCAAGGAATGAATACCTATACAGCATGTTTCAATTATGATGTGATACAATCAAAAATAGAAAAATAGAAACCAAAAAATATCTAGTGCATTTAAAAATATTTAATTTATTGAATAACACTGGAAATAACAATGGCCAGTACAATAAAGTAAAAAAGAAACAAATACATGATGAAATACCTATCTAGGATATAGCTAAAATGGTGAAATTTTTATAGGCTCAAATACATATAAAAAATAATGATGTAGGGATTTAATTTTCATGTATAATTATTCCTTATGCTATGAATTAAACAGAGTATATCCAAAGAACATATAAGTATAAGAGAAACTAATGAGAAAAATAATAAACAAGTAACAAAACTGAACAGATAAGGAAAAGAGAGAAGGCACACATACCAAGATTTTTTTAAAAGGACATAACTATAAATATGGTGTGAGTTTATATAATATTTAATATGTATGTATTATCTATGAGTATGAATAATAATACTAAGAATACTATTTGATAATTTGAAGGCTCAGATGAAATACATAATCTCCTAGAAAAAATATAACATCAAAACGTTTTCAATAAATTCAAAATCTTAATAAGCCCAAAAAAGAATCAGTTGCTTCACTCAGAGATTATCCACAATCAATGACTTAACTACTCCAGATCACTATACCCACAGGGTTTTTTACAGGTTAAGACCTCTCAATCATTCAAGGAAGAAAGCATCAAACAAAGCTTCCCAGAGGCACACTGCAGTAACTTGCTGT